CAAAGCAGGGAATTGAAGTAAAATGGGAGACTCATTTAAACCTAGAAATGTTGACTTCTAGGTTTCTTGTTTAAAAAAATCATTTCGTGTTGTTACTTGCATGCTAGATTCTTGAGATGACAAATATTAACATGATACTGTCCTTATTCCCAAGCCTGATTAGAGAAACAAATAAATGAAATAAAAATTTAAGATCTCTATGATAAAAAGAGGATAGTGGTCGAAAAAAGTAACCTGTTCATTCCAGTCTTACAAAAGTATAAAATTAAGTATTAAATTAAGTTAGAAAAGAGAAACAATGTAAGAGGAAATAGTTTATAAAAGTTACTTCTCAAAAGAAAATATTTTCAAAGTTCTCTGCAAATAAAAATATATACAGTGTAATATATTTGATCAGAGATTTCTCTCTTCCTCAAACTCTTCTTGGCAACAGTGAAAAAAAAAGATTAATTAATAATATATTCAAACAAATATAAAAAAGAGAAGAAATAGAAAGTTGAAGTTTCAATGAGTAACTGACACTAACATAACAAAGGAAAACATTTTTATCTTACTATCTTTCTACCCCCTAAAATAGGGTGGTGTACATATTCAGTTACAAAGAATATGCATTTTCTTCTTCAAAGGAACTAATCCCAAACTGCAGATTTTCCCCACATTTTTCTTAGTGTACTCAATTGGGAATCCGAGTCAGCTATTTGCTTGTATAATTAAAGTGCATACTTAGTCTCAGTTCCAATTGGAACAGTTGGAAGCTGAAACAGATTACTTTACTTTCACAGTTAAGTGAAGCCGAGTGACCCTTATCTGCATCGCCAGCGTTCCTGCAGTTTTCATTTGTTCATGAATGCTGCTGCCTCTTATTTGCAGGTTGAATGATGATTTCTACGCTTTCCTTCTTGGAATCTTCAAGCTGGCTTTCCACAGATAAATAAAAACAGAAGCTTGAGATTTTTTTTTTCTCTGAGTAATTCAAGAGAAAAACAACTCCTTTTATATAATAACACACAACACACCAGGCACACTGCTGCCTTTTGACCTGCCTTTCTTCATGTTCTCTGCCTGTAGTTACCAGCATGGCTCTCTCTCCCCCACTTCCTTGGTCACCCCCTTGTTGTGACCTAAATGACAGTCTTTCCCCTTCACTTTATAGTCCCCTTCCTCATTTCGTTTTCCTCCCTTACCTGTTTTCAATATCTATCATTGCCTATTAGGTACTTATTTATCTTACTACATTTTCCTAACCATAATGTCAACTTCTGACAACAGGAAGTTTTGTCTATTTGTCTAATTCTTCACTGATGGATCCCTAGCATCTAGAACAGTGTGTGACATACTTTGGTGCTCAGTAGATATATATATATATATATATATTTTTGGAGAGGTTTTCGCTATAGGGCGCGTGCACTTGCCAGCCAGACAGAGAGAGACATAGAGACAGAAAGCGAGAAATCACCCCCTCAGGGGGGATGGCCACGCTGCAATCCCTTCTCCTCCATTCTCCTCTTGGGATCTTGGGCACGCATGCACATGTGCCCGGCGTGAGTTTTAAGCCACCGGGTCCAGGACGTGAACTGCGGTCTACTACGTGGGAGTCCAGCGACATAGCCATTACGCTAACTGCTGGTACCCAGTAGATATTTTTTGATGGACTTATGGCTAAATGAGGCCTGGCTTTGAGTCATGAAAGCCTGGGTTAGAATGCAGACTGTCTGTTTGGCCTGGGGTAATTCCCTCCATCCCTTCCCCACCTCAGCATCCTCACCTATGAAATGGAAATAACAACTAACTCACAAGGGATTTTTAAAGGCTTAATGAAATAATGTAGGCCACACATCTGATCCTGTTGGAATCATATAATGATTATTAGTCTTTTTCTTCCAAAATTGAGGGAAGACTTCAGAGATTTATTTTTGAATATTATTCCTTCTCCTTCCACAAACCTTTACGGGTATCAGTCAAGGTTCCAGTGGAAAACCCTTCTGAGGGTACACTCAAATCTGGGTCAATTAAGGTGGGCTTATTTTACAAAGATTCATTTGAAGAGTGTGGAGGTATAGGGGAATGGAGGAGAAAGGAGAACAGCCATGCCCCTAGACCTAAAGGGACAAAGGGAAAGGAGGAGAGTTGGTAGACTGTCTCACAGAAAGCAATGACCCCCTGGAACCTACCTAGTCCTAGGTGACCCCACAGAAAAGGAACAAGGGAACAAATAGTCTAACCTCATGTTCCCCCAGATGGTCTCCTGCTGGTTCTCTTATATCAGACCTAACCATAAGCCAGAGGGCTGGGGAGCTCAACGATATCAGCCACCCAGCTTAACCCCCAGGGCAGACAGCAGGTCGAGAAGGATAGAGAGTGAATCTGGTGAACACAGGACACTGTCCAGCCCAGAGCAAGCGATAGAGAGAACAAAGATGTATTCCAGGGGCCAGCAGATGGTGCAGTGGTTGTGTTGCTGGACTCCCACATGGCCCACCGCAGTTCCAGTTGGCTTGAAACGCATGCCAGGTGCATATGCATGCGTGCCCAGGATCCCAGGAGGAGAATGGTGGAGAAGGTGGAGAAGGATTGTGTCATGGCCACCAGGGGAGGTGGTAGTTTTTGACGTTCTCTCTCACCGTCTCTCTCTCTCTCTTTGGTGAGTGCATGTACCCTAAGGAAAAAAGAAAAGAGTTGTGGTCCAGCTTTCAGTCCATTCACAGTTGTATTGTATGACAGTCCAATAAACGGAACTTTAATACAAGGTGATGAATGTCATACAAACGATAGCACAGAGTGCTACAGGCACATACACGACAGAGGCATGGGAATCTCTTTCACAGCACAAATGTAGGACACAGTAAGAGATGGTGCTGGTGGTTTGACTAGAAAAGGCTTCCTGGAGAGACAATTCAGGGTTTATTTTAAAGTATGATAATTTTTTTTTGAGAGTATTTTTTTGCTATAGGGCACGTGCGTTCGCCAGAAAGACAGAGAGATAGAAAGCGAGAAATCATCCCCCAGGGGGGATGGCCACATCGCAATCCCTTTTCTTCCATTCTCTTCTTGGGATTTTGGGCATGCATGCACACATGCTCATGAGTTTAAGCCACCAGGTCTGGGGCTCAAACTGCCGTCGGCTACATGGGAGTTCAGTGACATAGCCATTACGCTAACTGCTGGTCCCAGTATGATGATTTTTTTTTAAAAGATGAAGTTTCTCAAAACATTTTTCTGGTTAAACACAAAAAGATGTGAGTATGATGTAAAAGTAAGGATGGGAATGAAGAATAGAATGAGATGATTTCAAAAGTTTGTCCTTGTTTTAATGATTTAAGTTTTTGTTGACCTGTTACTTCTAAACAGACTCTGGATTTTTTTTTTTTAATAGGTCCTCACTATGTGAGACAGGGTTTCATTATGTCCTAAGCATCCTGCCTCAGTCTCCCAAAATGCTGAGATTACAGCTCCACACAACTGCATCTGCTCTTTAGATTGGACCGAGAATTCAGCCCAGGCTTCCCATGTGTTCCCAGTTTTTAACAGTGTGCACCACTGCTTCTGGACCTGAGTCTCTTATTTTTTATTTTGCCAGAGAGTGAGTATGCTTTCTAGAGAGAGAGAGAGAGAGAGAGAGAGAGAAAGTGAGAAAGCACCCCCAGTGGGGAATGGTAACCTCTCAATCTCCTCCCTTTTCTTTCTCCCTCTTTTCTTGATGCTGGTTATACAGAACTAGTGTCTAGTATGTTTTTCAAGCCAATGGGTCAAACTGACTTGAACTACAGGGTTAGCCACATGGGATCCAGCCAACTTAATCAGTACCCCATAGGCTGGCCCACGCCTGGATCTTTAATAAATTCAAACAAGTATAACTTTTTGTAATAGTCTCTCTTGTTAACATAATTTAACTTTAAGTTTCAATAAACAATGTTCTCAACAAACTTAAAGTAACTAAATTTATGGGGGTCTACCATGGTTTGAAAATAAATTGTGTAAGTTTATTACTTAGTGAAACAATGTATAGAGGACTAAACTCTAAACTGTTAGTAGACAAAGTTAATTTCAGTTAATACTCATTTTATGCAACATTCTCTTCATGTTCATTGTTCTAATCTGCAAGGAAACGCTGTATCACTTTCACATCTTGACAATTTCTAACAAAAACAAGCCAACTCATCATACAGCAGCTGTGTATTGTCATTAGAAACATATCCACATATGAAATTTAAGGTTAAATAGTATACAACAGGATGTAGGAAGGGGTCAAATTACAATAGGGTAAGGGTATTAGGAGGTGAAGAAAATGAGAGGAGGGAAGGAAAGTTTTCTTGAGTGTTGATTTAGGCACCGTAACTTGTGGTAGGTTTCCCAGGTTACCCAGTTGGACAGCTGGCAAGACCCTAGAGCACTGATTTTGGTGCACTGCGCAATCTCACTGCAGTAATTATTTTCTCTGTAATTAGATGTAATCATTGTGAGATGTAGTGAGAAGCGCGTCTCCATCAAAATCAAACAAGAATTTCCAGAAATATCTCCAGGACTCTACTTACAAATGTCAAGTGGTTGGGGGGGCAAACATAACCAGTAATTATAAACAGAACTAGGGAGAAAAGCGTGGGCAGTCAGTAATACTTCAAACGACTTCGCGAGATGTGTGGGACGTACCGTTGGGAGATCCAGAAAACTGAGACAAATCCGGATGGGGCAAACCCAGAGAAGGCGGGAGCAGAGCCCAGCCCCTAACCACCCTGGCGTGCATCTAGGGTCCCCTCGACCCCGCCCTCTCGCTCCTCCAGTGCCCCCTCCTGTTCCCTCTCCCGGTGCCATGGAGGGCGGGGCGGGGCGGGCCGGGAGGAGCCGCGCTCGGGAGCGGGAGGGAGATCCGCCGCGGAGTTACGGGAAAGTTGTTCCGAGTTCCTGGAGTTTCTCACTGTGGTTCTCCGTGCTCTCCCAGCCAGTGCCCAGCTCCTCTCCTCCCTCCGGCCTTCGCTGTGGCGGGGCGGGGCGGGCCGGGAGGAGCCGCGCTCGGGAGCGGGAGGGAGATCCGCCGCGGAGTTACGGGAAAGTTGTTCCGAGTTCCTGGAGTTTCTCACTGTGGTTCTCCGTGCTCTCCCAGCCAGTGCCCAGCTCCTCTCCTCCCTCCGGCCTTCGCTGTCCACCCGGCCCTCTTTCTGCCCCCGGCCGCCATGGAGCAGCCGCCGGCGCCGAAGAGGTAAGGAACGCGCGGAGCGGGGAGAAGGAGGGACGCGGCCGGCGGGCGCGGGGC